GGTTTTTGTGTATGCTGATGACGTGGATATTATATCGAGATCAATAAGGAAAACTAAAGACCCGTGTCAACTCTGGAAGCTGCAGCGAGGAGATGCAGTTATGGATAATAGAAGACCGCGAAATGTTGGATAAAACATCACAATTAGTGACCAGAACTACAATATGAATCAGAAATTAAGAAACGCATCTTATGTGCGAATAAATGCTATTTCGGCCAAGTACCTATACAACTGTAAATTTTGCCTAAGCAAAAAAATCTGCATTTATAAGACCCTTATAACACCTATTTTAGTATATGGCTCCGAAGTAACAAAAAAAGATGAATCTATGCTAGCCACATTCGAAAAAAAGGTACTGCATCGAACTTTGAACTACATAATGCCTATGGATCAGCTGAAAACTGTACTGGAAATAGTGACAACTATAATGGTGGGCAGATTGAGATGGGCAGGTCATATAGTAAGAAATGGCGGTGACCCAGCAAAAAAGATATTTTCGGCAAAACCTATAGCTGCTAGAAGTCTTACAATTTAAAAATTAATGAGATAAATATTCTGGACTTGACTTATTAAACAGTTTAGAGAACACTGAAGTTCTTCAACAACGAAGAAATAAGAATATTACTATAAGACCTATGATGACATAATTGGAAGAGATCATGATGCGTGCATCTTTGTAGTGGCAAAATATTGATGAAATGTTTTTCCTAACGCAATTGATTTTTTGTGCCTAGATACTTAAGCGACTGCAATCTTATGTTAAATCCATTATTTTCTCCATCCTTTACTCTAAAATGCCTCAAGTTTTACAGTTAAAATCATAAGATATTCGTAAGATCATAAGATATCGTAAGATGTTGCATCTAACTCACTAATCACTTAACATAATTGTGAACAACTGCCTAACACACTACACCACTGGGATACATTTGGGTCTCACAACTCCGAACAAATCAGCAAAATATTGTTTGAATCATGTCATATACTGATGTACCTAATAGATATTTCTTTAATGAGTACATTTATAGCAAAAGGAGGAAGGAAAATAGGTTAACGGATGATGCATTTTTATATTATTTTATTGTAATAATCTAGTAAATTAATAGCTTAGGTAAAGGGTCGTGATACAAGGGAACTAATTGTTGATAGATATGCACTGACTTGTTTTTGTTAATAAACCACTTTTCCATTCAGCTTTGTATTTCAGCAATAGCTATTTGTAATTTTTCAGTTACATCACTGGTTTTTTTCATTAAATGTAGGCAACTCTGCTGTGGCACTCCTGCTGGATTTTTCTCAAGTTAGTAATCATGATCTTGTTTGCTCCTGAAATAGCGTTCAGATAAATAGGATTCTAAGATTTTTGAATATTACATTTCAAGCTTGTGGTTCAACCCCTACCATACGTTGTCTTTGTCTTTGACTTTGTAGACTTTGCTGAATAAACCTTCTGTTCTTCTAGTGACTTTTCCATTTTATTTTTTAGACTTTATCTGCAGTAGTAATATTAGCCGATAAGATATAGTATACTGAGGTGACCTTCCACACCTCTTTGATCTTCCACAGCTGCGCAACATCTTATAATCAGAATGAATAATTATTTAAATTATTGCTTTTCTCAGATATGACCAGTTATAAGATCAAAACCAATAGCATTTTTGGGGTAATATTGGTCTTAATTTCCTTTATGACTTCAGCTGTGATTAGCATCGTTCCCTGGATTAGGTTGATTATAATCCAGAGAACGATGCTGCACACAATACTCTGTAACATTTTTGCTCCCAGTTGCATCAATGTAGAGAATTTTTCAAAAATATGAAAATTAGAAGAGTGTTAAAAAAAATCGGTATCCTTAGCATAATACAGAAAAAGTTTTACAAAAAAACTTGTAGCAAATTAACACAATGCTGTGTAACATTTTTGCTTCCAGATGCATCAATGTAGAGAATTTTTCTAAAATATGAAGGCTGTTAAAAAAGATCGGTATCCTGAGCATGATACAGAAAAACTTTCACAACAAAGGTTGTAGCAAAATTTTCGGAAACATTTGCTTGACACCTACTACTTAACTATAATGTTTTATATAACACAAACATTTGCACAAATATTTATAAAGTTTATATTTGTGATGAAAGGCCTTACTCTTCTGATATTGTTGATTTTCTGGCGAAGAAATCGTCTAGAGTCATTTGTTGCTTTCTTTTCTTTCATTAAGCAAATGTCGGTAGCTGGCGATCGCATCCAAAACTCCTCTTCTTGCCTTTGCACTCCTGTAAAAATTTGGGTTATTCGCTACAATTTGATCTACTATTTCGGTTGTCGTTTCCAAATTTTTTTAGGAAAATCTGTAGTAATTTCTTTTGGTTCATCGTCATCAGAAGTTTTCGCCTTCTTCAATTCCTTGTTCTGCCAGTTCTTGAAGGTCGTCGTTGGTGAGGCCTTCACCAGAAACCTGCAGTAGCTCCTCAATATCTAGCTCATCTACATCTCCTAGTCCTGCTGTTTCGACTAGAGTGACAATTTGACCAATAATAGGCTCTTCTCGTTGATAATCGTGGGATACCTCCGGCCATATTTTCTTCCACACTCCATTCATGCACTTCTTAGTTAATTCTTGTCAAGCTTCTGTTTTATCAATAAGTTGTTGAAATGTACGACGAAGATAATGTGCCTGAAAATTTGCAATAACTCCCTAGTCCATTGGCTGAATTAACGACGTAGTGTTGGGTGGTAAGAAAACTATTTTCACCGGAACGCAAGTGTTTAAGTACGATAGATTGATGGGATGACTTGGTGCGTTATCCAGCAGTAATAGAGCTTTTGGTTCAAAATTATTTAGTTCACAGTAACGTTTTGCAGAAGATTTCTTATTGAAATCCTCATGGCCCTTGGGATTTTGGCATGATACACAAGTAGAGGTTTTAATTTTAAATCGCCATTTGCAATTTCCTTTTCCAAATAGTCTACTAATCTTGAAGCTGTTTGGTCGTTATTTCTGTCTCAGCTACCGTCTTCATTCCTGATCATGAAGGTGTTTGCATCTAAAAAGACCTATCTTTTTGAATTTTTGCGAATATTATGAATATTTGATATCATTAATCAGCTTCTCCACATCAGAATATAGTTGTTCTCCACAAATCGGTCTTCAATGGAACTGTTAAAGTAATTCTTTCTTCTAACGTTATTTTAAATCCTTCCTTATCCGCTTTTTTGTTGTAACTTAAAGTTAATACAATCAAGATTCGGTTTAGCTCAAGGTTATTTTCGATTTGTATACAATTGCTTCATACGTTTTTGATGATGTGGAAATCAATCAAGTTTGGGGTCTTATTCTGGTGTGTTGGACAATACCTAGGTTTGCATGATGAATCATAAAATCAAAACCAGGAGCATTTTGGGGGTTAATATTAGTCTTTCTTTCCTTTATGACTTCAGCTAGAAAGACGTGTATCTGGCAGTGGGCTAGCATTGTTCCTTGGATTCCTCGATCCCCACTGTGTGTGTTTTGCATGAATCAATTATCTATTGCTTGAAGGAACTGTTCATATCAGTGTTCTGAACTCTTCAATTGAATATGTATCCGTCCAATTGGATTTATTGGTCCTACTAAATTGTTTCTGTTTTGTTATTATTGGATGAGCATAGCATCCACACACAAAGATTACTTTGATGAAGCATTGTATTCAAGTTCCAGACATGAGATTGCTCACGGGATTTCACAGATTTTTAAGCATGTTTTATGATCATCAAATCATAGTACCGCTTCGCAGCAATTCAGTAAGAGTTGTAATCGTTGAATGGAACAGCTCTATAACGATAAAAGTTTCTCCAACTGATAGATCGCAAAATGAAACTATGTCAGCACATAACAGATTAGTAAATGCAATTTTACTGGTGTAGAAGAAAGAAGCCAATCAGCAGCAAATATGTTTGGAGCCAATCTTCTTACAATTACTAAAACAGTCTTTAAGTTATAAAACAGTCTCGAATAAATAATGACATATCCAGAGCAACGAGACAAACTTGTCATGTGGTAAGGAAACAAGGCATAAATGTTATCATGTACCTAACTTTACAAAAATGAATTGGGAGGGACTTGTAGATGAAAATAAGCAAAAAAAATGTAAAAGATGAGCGAAATGATGTTTTTGCTTCTGGAAAATGGGCTCATAGTAGCTGTGTGGGATGATTATCAACTTTCAGTGTTGACCCCATGGGAATATGAAGTGAAGGATGTTACAAATCATAGCCACGCTTCAGTTTGATAATTTCTTTTGCATTAATTTCCTGACAATGCTCGATTAGACAGCATATATGGATTATGTAAAAGCGATTTTTAATACACAGTATAACATTATGTACAAGTACTTTTTAATCACTATTAGTGTGTCTATGAGATCTACGTAAATGTAGGAGATATCAAAAGAAAAGTTAAAAACAAAAACAGAAATCATAAATGAATTATAACATGTCATTTTTAAACGTTTCATGACCATACAATTTTCTCTACTTTTTAAAACCTTGGAAGTTAAAACAAAGTAATAAATAAAGTTTCATTTGTTTGGTATTTCAAAGGTGTATAAAAATTTCGTTTTAAGACTCATTATTTTCACATATTTTTTTGCTATAAAGTCATTAAAGAAATATTTGACTTTTGTTTCTTTTTACAAAGAAGTTTTTATTTATTTTTTTATGCTTTTACATTTCTAAAGTAACTTACACAGAGAAATATCTAAAATTCCATAAAACATAGGAATTATTTGGTAAAGCTAAACGATAAGAATTCATTATTTTAAAACTTCATTTTATGTTATAATATATTAAGGTAATATTATTAACGTTTTAATTTATGATTATTAAAACAAAAAAGAAAACTTCCAAAGAATTTCAACCTTACAACCCACTCATACAAATGGTCACTCACAAAAACAAATTAGCTTTCACAATTTCGTTACAAAAAACAAAAACGAATTACATCACATTTTAAATTTTATACTTACATTTTCTTTAATTGTTATTCCATTTATTTATTGATAAGAAGCACGTGTAAACCAAGCTATTTGAGATCAAAACAACTCTCTAAAACGTGGGTAAATCCAAAACTTGTCTCGAAGGAAGAGGTGAAGAGTGAAAAGTGATGCTCAGCTTGACTTTAAAGCAATCCGAGTCCCACTCGCGAAAGAACTCACTCAGTGTCTGTCTATTAAAGTGGAAGAGGCTGTTTACTTTTAGAAGAAAATGAAACGGTACAGTGACTTTATACGTAGAATTTCAAATAAGAATTCTTTGTATTTGTTTTTCTTACTTTATTCTTTGTAATTGAGGAATAAAATTCATTAAATGTCAGTTTTAATTTAATTTAATATTGTTTATGTGAGCAACAATAATTTTTTCACCGTTTGGAATGCACCCAAAAAACTCAGCTCAAAATAAAGTTTTCCCAGAACCTAGAATTTATATTCTTAGTTCTTAGTCGATTATGTTCTTTATTAAGTAAGTGTTACAGTGTTAAATAAAATACAATTAACACTTAAAATAAAATCCCGTCTTTATTTTTAGCCTTTTTATGAAAAATTTTTCCGAAATTAATAATTTACCAAAGAAAATCTTTTTGATCCATAAACACCACATCAAACACTTTAAATAAACAGTACAGAACTAAAAGTACGCAAAACTAGACCATTTTTAAACAACAAATACCTCTAAAATTACTGGTTTAATGAGCATTTTACCACGACACGAACAGCGACCGCCAAACTACTGACGTGTTAACAAAAAAATTTTATTCTTTTCGATTTACACGCGAATTCAAAAAAAAATAAAAAAATAAATTTAAAACATATTTTGAGATAAATCTCGGAGTATTTGAAGATAATATTAGTGAAAGTTACGAAGAAAGTGATAATCTGTGAAGAAAAACTTATAGAATTACGTAAATCTAGTTGGAAATCGGTCCGGACGATTGTTACGTAAAACAGTTACGGTTAACAGGAAGTTACTTGTACGATTTAGCGACCGGAATACCGTAATTTGATCTACGTAATCGATTATTTCAAATTAAATTGGAGCGAATAAATGTTTTTTAAAAATAAAATTTTTGTGATTAGATTACCCAAAATTCATATGTTAAATTTGTTGCATACTTATACATTTATTTATACAAAAGATTCATTCACAAAATATGTTCTATGATCTTTAACGAGGCTGCTTATCTTAACAGGCAGATATCATACTATAAAAATAAATATAACATAAGATTTGACTTCTGATATATTTTTCTAATAGCAGTAATGTACAGTGTGTTAATTAATTATCGTACCTGACGTCATTATTGCAAGTATGCAACCAATATCACAGTGGAATACGCATCATATGCAAATCACGTATTGAAATAAAAACACTGAGATATTGGTTGCATACTTGCAATGATGATGTCGGGTACGATAATTAATTCACACACCTGTATTTTCCAACATACTGCATCCTACACAAAATCATGGAACTTTAACTGGTTTAGTTTTTAGTAGATTAACCATTTTAGTTGGTGATAATATTCAAAAGCCTTGGTTTTCTGCGTCTTTAAACCACCCCTTTGTACGGTACACAGTTGCTGTTTTAACCCCACAAGCTTCAGCAGTTCTCTAAATAAAAGTTTATCTTTCAGGTTGAAGTACACTTGTTGTATTTGGTCCATGCATATGGTCCACAATATGAGACAAATCGTCGGAGGGTTTGGACTGGAAGAAAGGAATGAAAGGGGAGAGAGACTGCTGGATTTTTGCCTGCAAAAAGGACTCCCTATAATGAATACGTATTTCCAGCATCATCCACCCAGACTCTACACATGGACTCTGCAACAAACGCTAACATGTTCCTTAGTGCAAAATATTAGTGATCATCAACTCCTAGTAATACAGAAAGAAACATAATCGTAGACCTTACACCGGACAGAACGGGATAACATTAGAGGAACTAGAAACATTCAGAAATATAATCGGACAAATATTAACCAATATAAATTGCTATGATAACATGGAAGAATCGTGGACGAACATAAAGGTGAATCTTCAGAAAAGCTAGACAATGTCGAAGCCAAGGAAATGTAAAGAGTCGCAAGTCCTGGATCATCGACGAAAATTGGGAAATTATAGAGCATATGAAACAGGTCCAAATAGACCCCCATCTCCAATATATTCCAGGAGATACACTAGAGGCCCAATAGAGGATATCAAAGTGGTTTTGGACGTTTGGCAAAAATATTGTACAGAACTGCTCAAAGATCAACAGATCCTGGAGAAAGAGGAGACAACTCTTAACATAAACGAGATTAAGCACGAGCCGGACATCTTGCAAGCAGAGGTACAGGAAGCAATTACACATTTAAAAAAATCTCCAGGACGCAACGATATAATGGGAGAACTTTTACAAAATCTGATCAACACGGCATTAAAATCTTAAATGAGGTATATAATATGATTTGGAAACAAGGTCAATGGGATTGATCTAGCTCTACTTTCATTCTTATACATAACAAGGGTGCAACTACGAAATGTTATACAATTATCGTACCATCTCCTTAATTTCGCACACGAGTAAGATTCTGCTCTGAGTTATTAAACGGTGTTTGAAGTTTTATCTGGATCGGATCTCACACTAAAGGTGCGAATTCACAATGGGAATATCTCAGCAGATTTTCATGTCATGAAATAAAAATTTCCTGAAACAATGTGTCATGAGAGTTTTATTTCTTGTATAAGATTCAACGTGTAAACATGACTCTTGCGAATTTCGGATGAGACATTTATTTCACTATAATACTGCAGTTAATCGAATGATGTGAATCCAATCCTAATTGGTGATACTGCTCGTCCAAAAGCTATAAAAATAGAAAGCTTTGAAAATTAGCTATGGATGAAATTTCCAATAAGTTGGGAGTTTCAACTCAAGAAGTGAAGAAACAAAAACACACTAAAAGCGGCCAGACAGCAGGAGAAAATTTTGAAGTCAAATGGGAATTTTAAACGTCATAGGTGGACCGATATGTCCACGTCATTGGTAAGTTTAATCATAAATTTTCTCTTCTTAATCTTTTAAATCTGCTAAATCTTTTCTCATCGTAAACTTCTCCTTCGTGGTGGAAATATTGTGTAAATGTCAGTTGTATGTACATCTTTGGGTTCCAAATTTCTGCTCTCTCTGGTGAGCCTGTCTATTGTGCTATTTTCATGATCTTCCGTTTTAGAGCGTGTCATTAAAAGATGATGCAACACACACATGGCAGATACAAGAAGGATCATTTTTTCAGGTTCTAATTTAATTGGTCTTCTTTGTCGACCATGCAGATTTCTAAATGCATATGTTTTCATAACGTATGGTTTGATGGAAAAAGCGTCATCAGCTGCGATAATAACGGAAACTGGTTTAGTTCCTTCTACTAGTGGTCTGGGTTTAGGAAATTTTAAACTATCATTAGCAAGTTTCTTTAACGAAGAGCATCCATTAAAAACGCCCCCATCAGCGATTCTTCCAAAAGTTCTAACATTAATGAATTAAAATTTGTAGTCTGCGTCAACCAATGCCATTAATAGTACACTATGCGTGCCAAGAGCTCAGACAAAAATGTCTGAGCTCGAATATAGATATTTATTAGATCAATTTGTTATCCAACAAAAATCTCATGAGATTTTAGTCTCCTTGTAGACACCTAGCTTATCAGATAAGTTTTGTAAAGAGAGAACCAATCCAGAGAACAAACCTTAAATTTAAGGCAGCTCATAGAGAAATGCCGAGAATGCAATACCCCAATTGTCATCTGTTTCTTGGATTACCAAAAGGCTTTTGATTGCGTTAATTGAAAAATATTGCTCCCCAGATCTATTTAAAATCTATGAATTAGGAATCTTAATTGCGGACAAGAAGATTACAGACTTAAGATTTGAAGACGATACAACTTTGATAACTGAATCAGAAAAGAAAATGGTGGATCTTCTAAATCAAGTTGAGACTGAAGGTAATAAAGGTGGCCTTAAGATAACGCAGATAAAACCAAAGTTATGATCGTCGATCATTTTGATGTTCTGTAACTGAGGGATGCTCTACACAGATTTCAAATCACACACCAGATCATGTACTTAGGTTCTGAAAAATGGGACTGATTCAATCACTGATCTTCTCCATCTTTCGATATGGGGGTGAAAGGTGGACAATTAAAGCAGCGGACAGAAAGAGAATTGATGCGTTTGAAATGTGGTACTGGAAGCGCAAACTCCAAATTCCGAGATTAGTTTTAAGGATTTTTTGAATACAGGTTGTGATAAAAAATGCAAAGTATTAAACTATCAATTTTTATTATTAAATTACAAATGGAACTATAAAATAATAAATTGGCATTATCGTTCAAAAAGAAAAATAAGAAACTTCACGGCTTGTTAATATAATACCATAAAAAAACTCGACCGTAGAAAATCATTTAAAGATTAGATGGATATGCTTCAACAAAAAAAAACAAGAATTTCTTATAAATCAGACAACCGTAAAACCTAGCAAATTCACTTGAATATGATTCGTTCACCCATATCAAAATTTATTATTCTATTTACTCTATCGACGGAAATTGTTTCAAAACCTTTAAATTGGATTGATGAAAATGAAGAAATCGATTTCGATTCGAAAATAACAAACCCTTATCGGGGTTGGCTTTTTAAAAACGGTCGCGGTTTAAAATCAGTATTTTGTTATAATGGACAATAAGAAGCTGAGGATTGAAATTGTAATAAAAGAATTTTTCTGATAAAATTAATGGTTTATTACAACTAACACGTTAAGTTTCAAGTTAAGTCCAATACTGCTATCAAATGAAGAAAGTGAGATGAAGAGTTCAGAACATATACCACATGGCTATAGCAAATTGTTACCAAAAGATAGTTGTGGTTGAGAATTCACAACACTTATTTCTGCAAGTCACTTGTTCTGCAAGGTAGTGACGTAACCTTGTTGCCTGGAAGATACTGGTGGGACATTATTGATATGCGTCGGAATTAAAGTAGAAAAACTTTCAGAACATTACGTGGTAGACCCAACTTTTCGAGTATGATCCCGTTTATTCAACCAAACAGAATAAGCCGCTTGTAATGAAGTATACAAGCATCTTGTATATTTTCCTCGCTTTTATTTACTGGTTATTGGTTCTTCCCGGAATAGGCCTTCGGCAGTACCCAGGGCGTCGCAATTCATACCCTAATAAGTAATGCAGATGTTGTTTCCAGGAAACTGAGTTGCTGCCTTGTACAGGACCTTGATTATGAGGCAATAGGAATGCGCAGTCTCGAAAGGAACGGTTCAAACCTAATATTATTGATAATATTTAATGGTTACCTCGCAGAATTATTTCATCTCTGAATGATCAATCATGATGATCCTTTACTTTATCTTACCTTGTCAGTGTCAGCTGNCGTAACCTTGTTGCCTGGAAGATACTGGTGGGACATTATTGATATGCGTCGGAATTAAAG